TATTATTATTATTATTATTATTATTATTTCAATACAGTGATTGATTAATGTGTGTCATATTTTGGATGAGCTAATGATGTCTCTGGGTCAACACACTATATTTCCTTGTTGTTGATGGACGGAAAACCCCGCATTATTGGTCCCAATCCATCCGCGAAAAAGTGTTTAGCTTCTCTTTTAAAAGATTAGTATAAGTGTCTGCTAAACGAATACATGAAAAATTATATAAATCATCGGACGAAAAGATCCGACGGGGGAAACACCACGCCGGGTCGGGGCGAAATGATCGTGGGCGCCTTCCTGTCCGATAGGAGAGGGGTTAGGTGATTTGCACCTTATATGAGCAGTTTAGCTAATGTTCGCGTTAGTTATGAATCCATCGTGCAATTGAAAATAATACATTATGCTGAGCAGGGATGGGCACATTTTAAATAAAATGCACTTACCTCCGTGAAATGAAGGAGACGTCAAAGTGGCACAACTCAAAAAGTGGCGCTCAAGCTGGCAGATGTCACGTGAGTAATCTGATTGGTTGATCAATTTTACCTTAAGCACCTTCCTTGTTGACCCAGGAACGCGTCGAACTCGGCAGAATCAGGACGTGCGTCACGATCTGGGAAGATTTGCATAACGCCGCCCAAATGTTCACGCAAAGAAAGAAGGCGTAACTTTTATTCTCGCTGTAGTATTGTTGATGCTGACGCCATGTCCTGAAGACGCTGTGTGTTTTGTTGTGAAAGCGAAACTACTTTGTTTGGTCTTCCAAAAGAGGACGATCATTTTCTTAAAGATACAAGGTTAGAGCACAGTATATAGGATTTTTTTTTAATGATTATAAGTATGCTAAGTACATGAAGCCCTGAAGTTGCACACCCCGGTACAGTAGGTGGCCATTGCGACCCGCCAATAAAACCAGAGAGAGAGAGAGAGAGACGGCTCTGGCTAGAGCCAGATACTTTTCCAGAAGCCACCCCCCACTCTGCCCGTGCATTTAACAGAGCTGCGTCACACTTTCGCTTTCGCTTGAGAGCCGCAATCCTTCAAATGGCGTCTCAAGAAGGTGAGTATGATTCATTGTATCTTCATTTTAAATGTTACGTATGTGGCGGAGCCAGAGGGATGTCCAAAAACATCGCAGAGCAGAGAGGACACAGACAGCGAGCTGACAGACACGACAGGGGCCAGGGGCCTCGCTTACGAAACGAATGTACGACAGAAAATTGGTAAAAACTTGGACTTTATCAATATGGACGTGAGCGGTGGCTACGATCAAATCTCACATCTGGTCTCAGCTCGTGTACGCAAGTTTTTGAGTTAGCCTACCTGAACTTGCGCGCAGCATAGTAGCTAAATATGGTGGAGAATTGTAGAATGACAGCATTTTTTGTTGTCCTGACCGTCAAACAAAGCTCATTAGTCTATCTTTAACCAGTAAGATAAGAATGTCTTTTTTTATACAGGGTTTTAGCTTTATATGTGCGAATAGCAGCGTAAACAAGACCATGAGGATTCAATCGTCGCATCATGCACCTGCAGCGCTTCTGTGAAAGAAGAAAAACAGAAATTAAGTCTATAAAAGGAATCAAATAAACAGGATCACACAAAATATATAATAGGCTATAATATAATTAACAGATTAACAAAAGGAGAAAAAAACACTGTGCAACAAGTATAGGCTATGCTCGTTTTTGTGACACTCTTAATGCATTTAATTTCATTTCTTTATATCTTTATTTGATTTCATCCATCTGATCGCACAGGCGCCTCACGCACACACAGACAACATTAGTTCTAGCGTTGCCTGACATTTCAGCCATTCGTCATCAAACTAAAATGCAGTCAACCAAACATAAAAGTTACACTGTTTATTTTAAAAGATCCACTGTAAAATCAACGTGTAGTGCCCAAACAAACATTTTTGCGCATGTGAAGGATTTCACACGAATATTAGAATATGAGTGAAGTATAAAGCCATGTTTTTGCCATGTAGCCATGGCTACATAATGAATAATAGTTATGCAAACAAATGTTACAAATGTGGCAAAAATGGAAACATTTGGATTCTTGTGGTATAAGACAGGCTCGTGAGCCCAATGCCGTTTCAGTTTTGCTTTACATGTGTATGCTGTTTATAATGAATGCCACTATAGCCTAATTTGTGTTTCATTTTATAGTTTAATATATAATTTTATAACTAGCCTACTTATTTTTCATTCTTGTTCTGTTCTGAATACCGTTAAATTTAAAATATTTGTTGTAGAGTGAGGGGAACTAAATAGGCTGTTTATATTTACCAATATTTTAATATATATATAAATTACATGAGTTAATGTAGCCTAATTGTTTGCAACGGGTGTTTTTGGAGTAAGATCAGTTTCTCTTTCGTGAGATTACTTCCTCTTTTTGGCCAGGTTTCGGTTCTCCGTGTCGTAAACTCTAAGGGCGAGGCTTCTAAACCAGGGTGTTTTTAGGGGCGTGATATTCAAATGATGATTGTTTTCTGCCGCCACATTTATCAACGTGCGATCATTCGTACGATGAGATTGGCGGGATACGAATGTTTCATGAATCACGCGTGAACTCTGTCGTAAGTTGATTTGTGCGCACGGATCTGCGCTCGTTTCTACGTTAGATTGATAAATGAGGCCCCAGGTCACTTTTGATAATAGAAAACAGTCTCAGCATTCAAATAATGTTAGTTTTATTAAGAAATTCAAACGATAAATACAGGCTGCATCCGAAAGCTCTAAAATGCTGCCTTCGGAGGTACCTTCTTCTGATCGAATTTTGAAGGCAACATAGATGTATTCTTCGCTGCCTTTGATATCCCACAATTCTGTGCACTCCATTCCATGACGGTTGAGGCAAAAAAAATAAAGATGGCGTCTGAAAGTTGCGTTTGGTGGTCAGTTTGTGTGTAAATGTATATTTCTGATGATCATTTTGCACTTTTGATGTTAGTTCTAGCGAGAAATCTGAATTATAGTAATTAAGCATTAGTTTAATTATCACCAAAACTCGTTCTATTTTGTTGTAGATCATTAAACCGTTACGCTGCCTCAGAAGCCTGTCTGTTTCATGAGGTGCCTTCCTGCAAAAACGCTGCAAAGTCATTGCCTCATGAGGCAGCAAGTCAGCTGCCTAAGTTTTCGGATGCAGCCACAGTTTTGGAGCTCTTTAGTGGCGTGACGGTTCATGCGCCTCTGAATCAGTTCAAGCGAAGCTTACTAATTAGCATGAAATAAACATTAAATAAACATCCAATCCATGTTAAAAGATACACTATGACTTACTGAATGTATAGTGTCTCATCTCATGTAATTGTTCAATTAATGTTTCGACCGCGGAAAGACAGCAGCTAGAATACATTGTCACATGACAGCAGAAAATCAGTGTCTATAGCGAGAAAAATGTTGCAAAAATTACATTTATTATTTATTTACTAATTTTTGCTCTTTTTATTATTAATAAAATGTATAGGTATGGCCTACCCTGCTGGGGGAAAAAACAGCTAAAAATCATCCAGCCTGGTCTAGGCTGGTCAGTAGGCTGGTTTTAAAGGGGTTTTGGCCACTTCCTTAGCTGGTCAGGCTGGCCAGGCTGGGATACCAACTAAAACCAGTTACTTCCAGCTTAAACCAGCTAAGACCAGACAACCAGCTTAGGGTGGTTTTAGCTGTTTTTTTTCCAGCAGGGTGTTATTATAAAAAAAAAGGTCTAATATGAACTTGAATACAAATCAATTACTTTTAAGCTTAACAATAGGGTTCCCTGTATAGTTATTTTAGAAGAAATTATAAAAAAGTAATGTACTTAATCGCACGCTTGTTAATTATTCCTGAATAATTCTCACTCAAGGCTGAACTCACAAGTTGGCAGCCCTGTTTGAAGTAAGTTGAAGTTTTAGGTTTCTTAAAAAAGTATGAAATAAATTATTTTCTCCAAATCACTGATTAATGAGATGACAGACGTAAGAGAAATAAGACTAACCAATAGTCTTATTTCCATAGACTAACATTTCAAGTTACGGTTTAACTAATGAGGAGTAATGTGAATGAATTAGTATTCACATTAGTATATATATATATATATATATACTAGTAAATTACACTGATTTTCTGTCATGGTCCCCTGAATTAGCTTTGGCCACCCCGTGTATAAAACACTAGCTCCTCCACTGCATATTTCTTGAGTTCGTTCAGTCTAAAAGCAAGCTATATCAAAACAACATGACAAAACAACTATTGCGTATCTTTGTCAAACAGTTTATTTAAAGCTCCAATGCTTTACTGACAATAACTCAAATTCTACCTGATTTAAATGTGATCACATTGTCAAATAATTCTATCCCAGCTTCCGTGAAATATGATTGCTTTAGATTTAACCTGACGTGTTTGCAAATTTACCAACAGCATTAAAAGGAGAATTTTTAGCATTATTTTTGTATTATTTTAAACCTAAATCTAAACATGTCACTTCCTTAATATTGAACATTTGTCTTCAACATTTTATTTAAATTCACGTTCAGGGACGTGCAGAGAGTTCCTCAGGGGCAGGGGCTCAAATGTAAAATAGGGGCAATGTAAAAAAAATAAATAAATTATAGGTTAAAAGTTTGGATATATTACTATTTTATATTTTTGCAAGAAGTCACTTATGGTCATCAAGCCTGCATTTATTTGATCAAAATTTAAATATACTTTAAAATACATTTTATGCAGTGCTGATTTATTATCAATGCTGGAAACCTGTGATAAAGAAAAAAAAAAAGAACTGCATTTATTTAAAACAATATACATTTTGTAACAATATACACTACTGTTCAAAAGCTTGAGGTCAGTATTTATTTTATTTTCATTTATTTTTCTGAAAGAAATTTGTTTTTATTCAGCAAAGATTTGTTAAATTGATAGAAAAAGTGATAGTAAAGATTTATATTGTTTACCTCTATTTTGAATAAAATATTTTTATTTATCAGTGAACCCCCAAAAAAGTACCAAAGGTTCCAAAAAAAAAGAAATTAAGTAATACAGCTGTTTCCAACATTGATGATAAATCAGCATATTAGAATGATTTCTGAAGCATCATGCACTGAAGACTGGAATAATGATGCTGAAAATTCAAATTTGCATCACAGAAATAAATAATATTTTAAAGTATATTAAAATAGAAAACCATTCTTTTATATTGTAATAATGTTTCACAATATTACAGTTTTTTTCTGCATTTTTGATCAAATAAATACAGACTTGATGAGCACAGAAGACACTTTCATAATGCTGCATAATTATCAAAAATGGTAATATAATAAAGTCCTTTCACGTCACGATTTCGCCAGCCTACACTTCACATAATAGGCCTGTAGGTGGCACTTGGGCTTCAGTAACTATGATAGTTTCATGAAATGGTAAATGGTGTATTAATACATAAATATAAGTGAATTGAATACTGCTTACCATTATTGCGACTTTTGGTGCAAAATTGCGGTTTTGTGCAGTGCTTTTGTAATCATTTAGCATTCATTTTCTCAGCGATGCAGTTTGATTTATAAATGAGACAAACCACAGATCCAGATCGCTCCACAAATGTAAGCTTGTCTGTCCGTAATGTTCAACCGATTTATGAATAAGAACAGAAAATGACCGCTCCACTTCACATTATTGTCCAATGAAATTTGAACTGGCAGATCTTGATTGGTTGGTGTATTGTAGCCTACATGAAAACAGGCATTGATAAATTGTAATATTATTATCATGTAAAATATATAATACATATTTGCACTAGCTGAAATAGATGGGGGAAAAAAGGTTTAAAATATTGTTTGGTTTATAATTTTCCTTCAGTCGATCCACTCATTGAAAGAACTTGAGAGCGTCTCAAGGTTACGTATGTAACCATGGTTCCCGGAAGGGAACGAGACGCGGCGTCGAACACTTTGGGAGCGCCCCTGGCGAGACACGTACTGAAACGTGTGAAATCAGTCCTATAGCGAAGCGAGACGTCACGAGCAGGGTGATACCCCTGGTTGAGTGCGCTCTGACCCCCATGCTCACACTGGACACAGCAGATTGAGTCTCTCCTGGCCTGCTTCCTGGAAGGGAGGACAAAAGGCCTGTAGTACAACGGGACCAGGCAATGAGGTGGGCACTTTAGGGACATACCCAGGTCTCGGCTAGAGGAATGCCCTAACCATGCCCGGGGCAAACTCCAGGCCTGACACAGCAAGAGCTGTGATAGAGATAGGGTTCAAAGAGAGCTTTGCATAGAGCCTCCAGAACCACTGCCAGATCCCATTAGGGCACCTTAGTGCACTGATATGTCGAATCCCTCAGCCTCTGAGTGCCATGGAGGAAACTTGTAACTAACGGGTGTCTTCCCACTGACTGACCACCCTGAAGGGTGTGGTAAGCAGCTATGGCCGCCACATAAACCTTCAAAGTGGAGGGGGATAACCCTGTAGAGAATTGCTCCTGCAGAAACTCCAGAACTGAACCAACTGGGCAATTGACTGGGTCTTGCAGTCGCTGTCCACACCAAGAGATGAAAAGTATCCACTTAAAGGCGTGCGGGAGCTCTGGACTGGAGTATGGTCTCAACAACCTCAGTTGAGAGACCAGATGCTATGAGCTGTGCCCCCTCAGGGGCACCCCCACAACTTCAATAACTCCGGGCGGGGGTGAAGAATGGTGCCCCCTGCCTAAGAGAGGAGGTCCCTCCTGATCGGAATCTCCCGTGGAGAGCCGTCGAGGAGGGACACCAGGTCCGAGAACCATACTCGGGCTGGCCAGAACGGGGCTACTAGCAAAAGACGGACCCCGTCCCGGCGTACTCTCTCCAGAACTCCCGGGAGCAGAGCGATTGGGGGAAAGGAGGATCTGGTGCACCAGCCTGTAAAAAGGGCGCGAGCACAGACCCCCCTGCCGATTTATGTAGGAGACCACCAATGTGTTGTCTGTGCAGACAAGCACATGATGTCCCATTAGGTCTGAAAGGAAGTGTTTTAGACCCCGAAACATAGCCACCATCTATAGGCAGTTGATGTGCCACATGAGATGATGGCCTTCCCACAGACCTCAGGAAGAGCGGCCACTCATGACCGCTCCCCGACCCGTGAGGGAGGCGTCCATCATTACCGTTACACGACAACAAGGAAGCACCCAGCAACGGCGCT